TAAAATGAAACATTTTGAAACAGATAAAATAAGGTATCGCATAGAACTTTAAGAATAAAACAGTATACAAATTACGTTGTCAAAATATTTCGTCGCATTTAATTTCTTAGTCTCAGTCTCTTATCAAATCGTAAAAGAATAAAACATTCTAAACTTAATCACTTGGGATTTATGTTTCGGCATTCGTTTCAGGCATTTGTTTTTTATGTTCTTCTCCTAAAATGTTTTGTTTGACAATAATCAGAGAAAGTGCGTATACGTATAAATATGCCACGCAAACAAACGGGTGTGACTTCAATTTCTTGTGTCTGAGGACGTATTGGGAACGAGGTAGAGTTAAAGAATTCTTATAAACAAATGTATTGGATAAGTTAATTTCTGATGGATCTGGATAAAATATATTTCAAAACTTTGTCAACACTAGATAACTTCATTTAGGCAGATATAGTATCTTGATATATTTGGCTATCATGCGTTTAAAATACGTTCCTAAAACTATGAAGACGTTGGGTGAGAAATATTGCTATTGTACGTTCGAAAAGTATTTGGTTGTATTTTGTAGTTCTCAAGTTACCCATGAACTTTCGTGGGCTAATTAACGTCTTGACTTAGCATATTTAGCCTAATTTTGCAATGATGTCAACGTGATTCAAATGTTATGCTGTCGTGATTCGCAGAGGTTGCGACAAGATTCGTTTTAAGAAATTGTATTTTTTGATAAGATCCCCTAATTTTCGGAGAACTTGGTTTCAGACAACTGGGTTTCGGAGAATTGAGTTTCGGACAACTGGGTTTCGGACAACTGGATTGACCCCTATGAGGGTTGATCATACATCAATTGAACATGGAGATTTTCCTGTACACTTTTCCCAAACATGTGGAATAGACTAGATGCGAGTAGAAATTATCTTGATTTATCCTATGCCAAGTAGGGTTTTAGGGAGATAAGTTGGTAAGATATATGCCGTATCCTGATTTTGAGGTTTCCATATCAAGAACCTCCATATCTCCCGTCATATCTCCCGCTTCGGTGCTTATCTTCCCGCTTCGGGGCGTATCTTCCCGCTTCCAAAAAAGTGGAAATGCAATAAAATGACTTTGCATATGAATGATTTGTTTATTTTTTACACCTTGTACTACTGAAAACTCTACTTGGTATAGGATAAAGCAGTTATGTACGGTCGGTTTGGATATTGGGTTCATCCCTCGTGAGATATGCACATCTACTTTCTGTCCCTACGGTCCCTCAGGTAGATATGCATATCTCCCTCTGGAAAAACCCCGTATACAAAACCTCCCAGTACATAACCCTTATTTATCCCATGGTTACAAGGATATTGATCGAATATCACGTGAAGATATAATTGATACGTGGATGAAGATATCATATTTTAGCAAACAATTCCCAAATCATCGAATATCACTTTTGAAACCATCGAATATCACTTTTTGAAAGGTGATATTCGATGGTTTCATAAGTGATATTCGATGGTTTTGATTTTTTCAATTTTTTTTATTAATTCAGCAAAACGATTGTTTATGAATACCTAGCAAGAGCTCAAAAAGTTCAATCATCTATTTATCTCAAAAAGACCTCAAAAACTGAGCTTGAATTAGAAATATGTCTTCTAAAATCTTCCTCGCCTGGACCTGATGGGATTCTACCATCACTTATTAAGTCTGTAAGACAGTTTTTAATTGATCCGCTCTTGTATATATTTAACTTATCTTTTAAATCTGGTATTTCCCAGACGCCCTCAAATTGGCCAAAGTAACACCTGTATTTAAAAAAGGAGTCACTACAAATCCTTCGAACTATAGACCAATTTCAGTTTTATCGGTATTTTCTAAATTGTTAGAAAAGCTCATGCACGCCAAACTCACTGGTTTTTTAGAACGTTTTGAAATTATTTTTACTTATCAATTTGGATTTCAGAAATTCAACTCTACCTACATGGCCATTTTATATTTCATTGAACAAATTCGAAAATCAACTGATTTGGGGAAAACGAGCATTGGCATAACATTAGATTTTTCCAAGGCCTTTGACACTATTAATCATGACATTTTGATACAAAAACTTGAATATTATGGCATCAGAGGAATAGCTAAGTCCTGGTTTGAAAGTTATTTAAAAGACCGCAAACAATATATCACCATTAACAATTATGAATCTAAACAATCATCTCTAAATTGTGGTGTTCCGCAGGGCTCGGTACTTGGACCACTATTATTTATTCTTTACATAAATGATCTGCCTTTTGTTGACCCTAATCTAAAATTTATTATGTTTGCTGATGACACCAATCTTCTTGATAGTGATTAAGATTTAAATGAACATATGACTAGAACTAATGCACACTTGAATTCAATAGATGACTGGATAAAAGCAAACAAACTTTCACTTAATATTGGCAAAACCAATGCTATTCTATTTGGACCCAAAAAAATCAAACAAATCTGAATCTCAAAATAAGCAATGAGAACATAAATTTCCGGGATAAAATTGACTTTCTTGGAATTATTATTGATAAAAACTTGAAATTTAAAGAGCACATAAAATCTATTGAAACAAAGATTTCTCGCGTCATTGGTTCTCTTTATCACATTAAACATCTACTTCAAATAGACAGTTTCAAAACAATTTACTACTCATTGATACACTCTCAATTAAATTATTGCAACATAATCTGGGGTAACACATTTAAATCATTTTATGATCGTCTACATAAACTGCAGAAACAATTCTTAAGGCTAGCTTTAAATAAGGATAGACTTTCTCACTCCGCTCCCTTATTTGAAGATCTTAACATATTAAATATTTTTGATGTCAACAGATATTGTACTGGTCAGTTCATGTACAAAATATTTAATAAGCACCCCAGTCTTCCAAAAAATCTATTTCAAGACTTGTTTGATATCAACATTAATATTCATCATCATTACACAAGACAATTGCATTATTTTCATATCCCTAAATGCTCTAAACTTTCCCTTCGCTATCTAGGTCCTAATCTTTGGAATGCTCTACCACATGATATTAAAAAATGCTCCACTCTAAATATTTTCAAATCTTCATATAAAAAACTACTCATCTATCGATAATGTATAATACCAATATCATACTATACTGTTGATTTTATACTGATACCTGATTTTTGTAACATTTTTACATTGTACATCCTTAGATTAATTGTTAATACCATTTTTATATACCTACATGTAACATAATATAAGTGTTTTCTTTTATATGTAGTCTAGATGTCATTTTAATGATTTCTGTTAGACCGCAACATATACCCACTAGGGTGTCTAGCGGCTTGTTTTTAAAGTGTATATTATATAAGAATTATGAAATAAATTGAATTGAATTGAATTGAATTATATATTTATTATATATTTTTATTTTTTGGATCCTGTTTTTACGGCGTTCGCATTAAATACAAACCACTCTGTTACGTCACGTATATGACGTTCGTTGAATTATCGCAATCAAAATGTCAGACGAAATGGAATTTCCATTGCAATTTATCTGACTATTCAATGTTCGCTGGATAATAATTCCCAATGGGATAAACGGACAATCCTATATAGTTTTTCAAAAATATCACTTATATCCACTCATGGATATCAGTATCTTCACTCATTCGCTGCGCTCACTCGCGAAGATATCAATATCCACTCATGGATATAAGTGATATTTTTTCAGAGCAATAGGATATTCCTATATTATTCCATAGTTAGCATGATATCCATAGGATAACATGTCAAGATAAAAACGGTATTTTTGAAATCAGTGGTAAAATATGATATTTTTGGCAAATTTTCACTTAACCATAGCATACGGTGTTTTAGCCATGACATGCGGCGCCGTATGCCATGGTTTATGGATTTTTGCTACTTCAGACTCAAAACGAGGCTAAGTGTCAATATCGCCGTATCGTTTGGAAAATTCGTTTTAGATCACTTAATTCCCGAAGATTCTGATGATGACTTTAACTATGGAATATAAAGAACATCCTAGGGACCAAGGGAATACATATTATATATCCCTCGGGATATTCCCTGTATCCAAAACCTCCAAGTGCATAACTGTTGTATATAGTTTAGCATGATATGTACTTCTTTCTGTAACTGGAATACGATTCTAATATACAAGCAGCACATACGTATTCCCGGGGAACCATAAATATTTTGTGTAGTGTGTGGACATTTTTCTTTTCATTTCTCTAAAATCAGATTATTCTCATAAAATTCATACAAAGTTGGGCTTAAGCCTCTATTTTCGTATTCTGCATGTTAAGATATTTATAATGTAAAACCTAAGAGATAAATTCAATGTCTTCAGTTGAGAATAAGTATAAGGTAAATGTGTGAATTCTGCTTGTTGTTGCACTATTTTTATAATAAACAAGGTTCGATACGCAACACTGAATAGACCGCAGTCATAGCTTAGTTGTAAAGAAAACAAAAGAAGTTGGGACGTGGTCATGCTTGAATACGATTTTAAATATATCGCCGTTTACATTTGTTGAAATCGGCCTGTATTAATTTCAACAGGTGATCGGTGTACAAGGGCATATATTTGAGTTATTGGTTTAACGATAAGTATGACCTATGAGTGGGTAACGTTTTATAAATGCATGAAACAAATACTCCAATGGCCTAATCTCAATTTTCCTGCATAAACTATTACATTGAAATGATGGTCATTTGCTCTCTAACTTCCGCACCGCATACGTAACTTCGTAACAATTCAATAAGCCAAGACAGAACCGCTATAATCGCTACATGCCAGTGACTATTGATGCTCCAACTGACTAGAAAATAACAAATCCGCGGAGTAGAAAGTCCCATCGAGACTTATTTTTATTAAATACCTTAACAATTTAGACATTACATGATAAAAATAGGAAATAGTAGTTCTTTCTCCTTTTGGAAAGATTAACACTTAAATGAAGTGACGTGAAACCTTCTATCAAATTCAATTAAGCAGAGGTCTAATTACCATCGGACATTATATAAAAATTGAACCAAATCTGGTAACTCGCAAATTATCTGTCTTATCACATAGTCATATTTTTCTTGAGAAATGGCGACCATTTTAAATTTATCTACCAACATTTGTAGCGGATGTACGACGTCTGTGCCTAGTTTCATTCAAATCAAGAATTATCTAAAAAAGAAATTATTTAGATTTAAACAAATGCATTATTTCTATTGCAAAACGCGTGTTTTGTATTGGTAAGCCCTGTCCTGAATTTCGTGTAAAGTCCCCGATTAGCAGCAAAATCAATGTATAATGTATAAGCTACAATAAATAAGATAAAGTCTGCAAATATATATTTGCAACTCTGTAAAACTAAGGAACATGGAAGACACCGATATTTGTCCAACTTCTAAATTGTCCTGTCCAAATAATATGTTGCTATAAAGCGAACATTTGTGCAAACTTGGCATAGTTCTTCAAGTAAATAAAAAGAAATTTCACAGTGCATGCATTAATTCTACAGTTTGTTAATTCTGTAACTCCCGGTGACAATTTTGTCTATTTTGTATCCCTTCCTGTGATCACTCTTCAATCCTTCATCCGTCAATATCTTAGGAACTCGGTCGGCATTGCGATCTCTTCCAAGCGACGGGTCGAACAATTTGTCAGTATCGTTAGTCTTTTCGTACAAGGAATACGGGGCCAGTACCTGTGGTTGTTCCGTGTGTTGCAGTTTGGTGTATTCATTGTTATCTGATTGATCTGATTGACGTTTAGTTGAGGTGGCGGTTGATATTGATGTCTGCACCATTTTTGTATTTCCTGCAATTTCTTTCAATCTAGCGATCTGTACCTTGAAATATATGCATGTCAAAGGTAAGATGAGATTTCAAAGAACTATACAGAAAATTGCTAGCTTTGTTTTACGAATTACGACTGGACATAACAATATCACGGATAACGGAAATTGATATCACATTACCTTGAACCTTGCCTCAGCTCGTTTCCTTGTTTTATCATAGTCGTTGAACTGAAAAAAACAGAAAGCATATATGTATGGTGAGGAGTATATGATTAGTTGATCATGCTTAGAAATATGCCTGGGTCACATTTCCTCTGATTCAACAGCCGGCGCTCGGCTGATTAAGTGTTTTGTTCAATATTGTATTCGATTTTGAACAGAATACTCGATCGGCCGGGCGCCGTAGTGAAAATCGGAGCAAATGTGACCAAGGCAATACGGAACGTAATTTTCAAAGTTTAGTATAAAAAACGACGGAAATCATTTTTGATAGAATTCTGTCCTTGCAGTTGCAGTATAGGTCATAGTAAACTATTTCTATAAGAACGCGCGTGTAAGCTATTTTGTTTCCCAATATTTAACGAACTAATAGTGATTATGTATGCAATAAAATATGTTTTCTATTAGGTTGACTGAACGTACCACAGCGAACATCCAGGTGTAGAAGATAACGTGCGAGAGAGTGAAGAAGAACAGGAGAACCATCATAAAATACCTGGAAATGGACAGCGAATCAGAGGGATTGTAGTAATCACGTGAGAAAACGGTAGCCAATCAAAAGGATCTAGTTATCGCGTGGCAAATTGTAACTGATATCAGTTTGATCACGTGATCACTTCATTTCATAGCCTTTTCATGACAATTGATAATTTTCGAGGATATTTCAAGCAATTTTTTGAAGTTTTTGAACTGAATGAGCTGGAAATAATTCATTTTACAGAACAAGATTATGAGCTGTCGCTAGAAGATATACTGCTTGGCTGTACGAACTTGTACTTTCGAATTCGAAATAACTTACAAGTCGGCTTGTTTCTTCGTGTTGAAATCTGTTATGAGGTAGGTCATGGCGTGCCATGCTGCTACTGTGATGTTACTGATGAACACTATCACAAAGTTCACCTCCTGGAAGACGAGCAATCTCTTCTTAAAAGTTTAATCTTCATGAAGAAAAGAGGAGAGAATTCAAACAGTGGTATTACTATTGGTCAGGATTAATGTGAAACATACGTTCACATCTAAGATCATTTCGCCTTATGACGTACATCCTGAAATGAATGAAATATTTTTTATCCTCACTAAAAATGTAGTTGTCTTGATGTTTGGCATTGATCCAGTGACGAGAAGCTTCCAGATCATCATCGACAGAGTCATGAGAAACGCCAGCGTCAATCGCACGTGGGTTTGGGTTGCTACATCCAATAAGAACGTCATGGGGATTCCAAGGCTGATGAGGAACTTAAACAAAACGAAATAATATATAGCTATGGATGCAGGCATGGACGCAGTACGGATTCAAAAATTTGAACTTTCAAATCATGCACTTTTCACCATTTGGAGAACTTTTTAAGTGCTTTTGGGCCAATATTGTCAAATCCTCCTGAAATATTCCAAAAAGTGAGCCCTTCTTTGGCAAATTAACTGGCTAGAATATGTCCCTATAAAGGGTCGGTACCTCACTAATATAGATATTACTAAATCTATAATTACCAAGGGTAGAAAATAGTTAGCGATGTAGAATCCCGGGAATCTCAAGATACGAATCGTTGCCCTGACAGTTGGATTACTTTTGGATCGTATTTCATCGTATACATTTTTATTGGTGAGATCGACGCAATAGTTGATTTTCCAGTCCCTTAGTGTAAACTGTCGGTTGATTGTACTTATCTCGCTTCTGACGAAATTTAGCTTGTTGTCACTTCTTTCCGACTTGATTATGATTTCAAGTTCCTGTAGTGGAAAAGAAATGTTAGTATATGACTGGTAGACAGAAGTAGAATTATTGTTAAGTATTAAACAACTCTTAGTTGATTTCAGAATATAAGGTGATATCAGTGGTATGTTAACAGTGTGGTAACAATTCTGTCCAGGCCTACTATAAATGTAGATTTCTTATTTGATATCTTTGTTAATATATACATTTTAATATTTTGTGCTTCTCGACAATATTATCTTTTTCTCTTTTCTAGAGCTAAATATATCATACCTGGGTATCTAATGGAAAATGGCCAAGCTCAAAGTTGTGCAGGAAGTTGCCTTTGATGTGTCTAAGTTCTGTGACGATGGCTTTGCCCCCAGAGTCCAAGCTAAATAACAATTCGCTTTCGACCTCAACAGCACCCAAGGCATTCTCAACCACCAGTCGTGGGTTCCAGTAAGAGGAAAGTTCCTTGATGTCCTAAAAGTTTGGTAAGCCGACAACGGCCCATTAAAATGTTAATCAAGGGTGGTGTGTCATATTAGAATTTCTATTTGTGTTTTTCCTCATACTATATCAATAGAAAATGGTAACTGTGATTTTAAAGGTAAATCTCAAGTTAGATTAAAAAGTCATGAAGTCAAAGGCATTGGTATGAATTAATTAATAAGTTTCATGGCACATGGACACGCGCCTTTAAGATACTATGCATTGTTTAGTATATTTTTGGAAGTGCCTTATTAACATCTAGCTTTCAACCGATAAACCATTCATAAGGAACGGACACATAAAAACAAATAACATTCATTACTAATAAGCGAAATCTGTTGCTCATGAACACCAAATGCAAGGTATAGTAGAGTGTTTTTTCTTATTTTGAAAGTACGATGTTAGAGTTCTGGAGGCATGTGTTCGGAGGATGTTCGTAATAGTGCAAGCAAAAAAACTCCCAAAACTCTAAAAAGCAAGCCCAATGTCCTGTTCCTATTCTTTCTATTGAAAATGGATTATGGCACTATAACTAGGGCATTTTTGAAGATAAAATTGGGACAGCTCTATAACCATTGACCTTGTCAAATGATAACATAAGTTTATATAACAGATTAGAAATACAATATGGACAATTTTAATTGATAATATATCATTTTAGGAGTTATTCAAATTAAACTCATACGGGCTGGTACCTGATTTTCCTTGCCATTTAACTCAGGCTCAAACCATTTTGTCTCAAGAAAGAAGTCTGCGTAAAACGTGTCCCTTTCCTCATCAAGTTCTCGTATTCGTTTTACGACGTATCGCACTGCCACCTTTATAAATATAAATACTTTAAAATCAACCTTTAAATACTTGTAACTGTCCTTTTATCTGAAAACTCATGATCATGTTGACTTTCAGAACAAAGTAAACATTTGTAATGAAATACATATATTTATCTTAAAAACTAAAATAGATGTTTCATTTACATCATTGAAACCTGAGACCATCATAACATTTTATGTTAGTTTTCAGTTGAAACTAAATGGGGTAACTAATGCTTAACCTTTACAAACAAATAAAGAAAGGGTGCGTCAAGTAGATCGAGTACAAATGAACATTGAAAAATAAGATATCATGAGACTTACGTGCCTAACTGCTGACTTTAAATTTTGTATCTTTGTTTCTGAGTTGTCAACTTCATTTTGGATTGTTGCGACTCCCTTATTCATTTTCACAGCAAAGTTCTCTATATCAAATTTCATCAGTTAAAATTGTCGGTAAACGGTTTCACAAACCCCTACCACAAATGCGTCAATCTTGACATGACTCGTTCATCAGCCCATTTTATGTATTCTGTATTGTAAACACTAATAATATTGAATTATTCAATTGTTTTGCATACTTTACCTTCAAAGTGTCAATAAATATGATAGGGAGTTGTAATAAAAGGGTTGCGAACATTTAGATTGGTGCTGAAGATGTTTCAATAACACTCAAAAATAACCCAAATATATCCCTGACAAATTTTACATTTCAATATTGTATTATGATAAGTACATTTTTGTTGACTTAACAATCGTTAAACTTTTCAAGGGGAGTGTATCTCAATTGTCATTATGATATCTGATTGAAATTTTTGCATACACTCCCCTCCATAAGTTTGGCAACCTTTTCCCCCATTGAACTACGTGTTAAAGCCTCTTTACCTTTGAATTTTTATTTACTTAACCTGCGATGAAAATACTTATACTATTAATGGAAACGTAATTTGACTTTAATTCCAATAACTCCAAATTTTCTCAATTTTTTTATTCAATTACAATAGGTCGAAAATTGATAATAAAGATGAAGTTTTGAAAATCGACATTCCCATGTTAACCAATGGAAAATGGTAGGTTTGCCGCAAGTCATATGACAGAATATCCATCCATCTGAGTCCTTGCAAAAAATACGAGTTAGGCAGGCAATTGAATTTGCTAACTTTATTTAACAAAAAATTGATATGTTTCTTCAGGTTCAACAAAGTTATAGGGCTTTAAAGTCAAAATTGTTTTTCAAAAAAACTCTCCCGTTGAAATAACACAGGAGGCGAAAAATTATTTTCAAAAATGACTTTGAAGCGCTGTAACTTTAATATTCATCAAATAAACTAAACACTTAGTGTTGAAAAAAGTTAGACAATTCAATTTTCTATATAAAAATATTTTTTGCTGAATCTTTTACTGAAAAGATATCCTGATTGCTGAATTGCCCCGAACCCTCCATTTCCCATTGGATTACATGGGAATGACGAATTTCAAAAATTCATCAAATTTATCATCAATTTCCGATCTATTGTAATTGAGGAAAAAAATTGAGAAAATTTGGAGGTATTGGAAATAAAGTCAAATTATGTTTCCATCAATATTATAAGTTATTTCATCGCCGGTTAAGTAAATAAAAATTCAAACGTAAAGAGGCTTTAACACGTAGTTCAATGGGGAAAAAGGTTGCCAAACTTATGGAGGGGAGTGTACATTCCATTTATAATTAAAACGCAGCAAACATTCAATCGTTGAAGATGATATCAAACATCACGAATTAAAAAGTTCATCAAAATACAATCTGGAGAACTTATCATATCTAAATAACAGAATGAATCTGACCCATGTTTATTTATTTCAGGATCTAACTTAACACTCACCAACAAGTGTGAATCTTAATTAGCCAATAAGCGATGGTATTTGTAATTAGACACTATTAAGCCATTCGTGAAATAAAGGCTCAGAAATATTTTAACTAAAAGCTCTTATCATTGTGGCCTATGATAAATAGTTCGGGGTGGATATATTTTCAATATCATATTCAACGTTTATAAGTTCAGTCAATATGGTACAACGAAAATGGGACTTCTGCGCATGTTAACATTTTTCGTCAAAACTCAACTTTTGTTCAAGTTGATACGATTGTCTTTCGAACTAGAGACTTACCTCATTCGAAAGATCATAAAAGACTTTATCTATACTGAAAATCTTAGATCCAAACATAGTAGAATACGCCGTCAGTCCGCATTTGAAATTTTTGAAGTGAGTTTCGTAGATCGTCAGATTTCTCCGACTGATATCGGGTTATCTCAAACTGGTTCGTATATAAATACGAATTTCTTTACTGTTGTAAGGCGCATGCGCAAAATTGATTTATAAACGTTATTGGTTGATGGTTTTTCTCCTGCGCATGCGTCAAGTCTGATGAACACTTATGACGAAGACCGGAGCAAACATTACTAGCTCTCGAACGAAATTCCAAGATTCAGGTCATTTCGCCGTGTTTGCTAAGCGTGTATACGTGAATGACAAGCTGTTTTGAGTAGATCAGGTACCTGTTTTAGACACAACATTGATTTAGCTTGACATTGATGTGCACATTGGCACTTTTGAGCATGTTAATACAAGTTTTTACACTCTTAGCACGAGACGGGTTTTCGAAAAATCTGTTATCTGATTCACTCGATTATCGTATGGATATGTATTTCTGCTGACATTTCAACACCACATCACATAGAATTACGATGCAGAATGATAATAAAACACAAAACAACTACTAAATTACACTTGTTATTTCACAGGAGGTAAAAATGCAAACTGCCTAGATTCTTTGTAAGGGTCGTCAGACATCGGATTGGCCGCCATATTTGAAATGAAAATATCACTAAATAGAGGTCTGCGCATGTATCAACATTTCGACTGAGTTAACAGTGCACCAATCACGAGTACACGTCTAGTTTATTAGCATACATCTCTAGTCATATCATACAGCCTTGCATTGCATCATGGCCTTATAATCGCCCGGCATATATATACACCTCAAGTCCATAAAATGTAAAATGTAATAAATAAGTAAGTAAAAGAAAATTGGGCATTGTGCGTCAGCGCAGCCATTTATCACATGTAGATTGTCTGTCTTTTAAGTTAAAAAATCAGATTTGACGATTTATCATGTACTAACGTACATCTCCACCAAGCGTTCGTATTTTTGGCGCATCGTTTTTCTCTCAACCAATAGAAAGGTTCATCTATGCGAGGGCACAAGGAATTCCCTGCTTGGCCTTGAGTTAAACAAAGGGTTCTGTGTGACCTTGTCTTCCATAACAGGCATTGACGGGCCAATCATCCGCTGTGGATCCCGAACCACTCGTCTCTGGAAAAATTGTAACATGGGTTACGGGAAGTTAGTTGATCTGATGAAGAGAGGTGAAGTAATTGTATTTTGTCAGGGACCGAGTACTTGTATCGTTATTGAGTATTCAAGCAAATGTTGTTTTTCTTATTCAATTATTATAATCATAGATTGCATGATATTTCAAAAATATGAAAACTAGAGAGGATTTTATTCCGGCCTTTTATATCATGGTATAATTGCCTGTATTTCGCATATTTGATTGGTTTCTATAGCGAACATAGAAAGATTCAAACCTGGTGTTTCTTTTCACTTTCTTCTAATTCCCTCTTATGTCGGATGTACTGAAATGAAATAAACAAAATGATAAACATCCTAAGCATGCGTCTTTGATTCATTTTTACTTATTTTATACTTTATACATTTATACTTGAATAAAATATAAAAGTACCATAATGGCCTGTTTGAGGGAGATATCCAAATAGGATAGGATCGATCAATTATCTCATACGTTATTCCAGTTGTAAAAAATCGACACATTATAATAGTATAATCACTAATTGCTGACATTATTAGGGCATCAATGAGATGTAGCATTAGTAAATACAAAAAAAGGACGTGATGTTTAAAGTGATCGTATACAAACTTAACCTACACAAATTGCCATTATTCCGTAGTAGATGATATGATACACAGTGAAAGCTCCTAGTGCGATCCACATTGCATAACTGAAAAATACGAAATGATTGCTTTAACTATTGGCATTAGTTTGGCTGTGTTTATTGTTTAATAATACATGGTGGTCCAAAAAGTGAATATTGAAACCCCCCCCCCCCCCCCCCCCCATCCGCCGTACTACAGCAGGGATTAATGACTTTCAAGAGAATTAGTTTCTGTTTCATATTACGTAACCATTAAGAAGTCAATGAACATTACGAATATTGGTTATACATTTATTTTACTTACTTGTCGGCTGTTTTCTTGGCTTCATCATCTATAATGAGGTAGGTCGCGCCATGCCATGTAGCAACCGACAGGTTACTTATCAATGCAATTAAAATGTAAATGTCCTAAAAATAAATGTTGAAATATTATTGTAGCAGAACGATCATATAGTTTTCATTACTGTGTTTCTTTTAATTAACGTTCCATTAGTTCATCATCTTACTGACACGTGACCTGGTCAGTGAGCACCTTTGGGATGACATTTTGTTTGGTTAATACTGCCCTTTGCTGTCAATCATGATCCGTTCGACTGAGAATGGACATGATTGGCTCATAAGGGTAGGAAAATACAGTATAAAATGTCATCACTAGGTGCGAGAGAACAGATTTGACAAGATTTGAACAGATTTTAGCCTTTACAAGATTTACACAGTTTTACAACTCTCTACACGTTCTACAGATTTATATTTTATGAGCATTCAGATTTACCGGAGATATGATGTACAAAGCTGTATTGTACTAATTTACGAAAGGAATTAATTATACAGGAAATATATTATTGAAAGACATTGGATTAGTTTGTCGTATGTAAGTATATGCGGAAGGTACGCTACATGACTCTGACTTTTAGAGTTGGTAGAAATTACTCTTGTTAACCCCTCCCGCTATACTATTCTCCTCTCCCAGTCTCAATATAAGAACCGGGCGAACGTTCCCGCTTCATTATTATTAGAAAAATCATTACCCATGAATATTCAGGCTGTGCGAGGAATTATTCCCCCATAATATTACAGTATACGCCATAGATGAATCGTTGCCCATCCGTCATATATAATAGGTATCGTTGCAAATAAATACTCACAATGTACGTCATATAAAGGAATCATTGCCAATAAATACTTACAATATACGTCATGTAGGGTATCTTGGGAAGGGTTTCGGCTATGATAAATTTGAAGCCTAGAGCTGAGAACGTGATGGAAAATGACAAACTCATTCTAACGTGGTGCAATCTCAGTACGTCCATCATCCATGTCAGAGGTATACCAATGCAGATTAGAAACTATGAAGAAAAATAAAAAATAATTATAACATTGTTTTGAACGTTTTCACCCTGTAGTAATACTTTCTAATACCACGTCAAAATTCTTTAATCTGCACACTATAGAATTGCTTTAGCCCCCCCCCCCCCCCCCTTAATTCAACAAAAGGGTATTGTAACTAGTGGGTACATAACACTGATGTAAGCTAGAAAAACAGCAACTCGGTGGATGAGCAAATTCCACCGAACAAAACATGCTTTGAAAAATGTGTGTAAATGTAAAATTTGAAGCAAATTCATCCACTAATATTTGCATTATCAAAGATTATTTGTTTTTATGAAAAATTTTCAAATTCAGCTGCCATCTTTGCAATTTCTTCTTGAGCAGAGCTCCTATGTCCCGAGGCATTAGCATATAAAATTTGATCCAGATCCTTCAAATAGTATTTGATTTATCAAATATTACATTTTTTACAAAAACTGGCGGCAATTTTGAATTGAGCGGCCATATTCAAAATTCTTTTCTCGAGCAGAGGTACCCATAAGCCATAAGCCTATAGAATTTGAATCAAATCCGTCAACGGTACTTGAGTTATTACCGGACAGACGGACATACGGACGGACGGGCGGCTTTCCTATATCCCCCTCGAACTTCGTTCGGTGGGATAATCATTTATGCTAGATGCCTATCAACTATTTACATATGAAACAGCGAAAATATACAATGCTTACCATAACGAGAAAATAGTTGAGTATATAGTAATCTGGCTTACGAAGTATTTTCAACGTTATTTTCAAACTGTCTCTGTTCACTTGATGGATCTCGTCATATACTGAACCAGTTCTAAGTTCCAAATATTTAGCTATCTTCCAGTCAGGGGATTGCTCATCCGGGTTTTGGATGAAACTGACGTCAGACTGAATAAATTCAAACCGACCAATGGGATGTTTAGACGTAAAGCTCAATGTGATATCCTACAATAGTTAAATAGATTTACAGTGTAGGCAATAACTCTATTAATATTTATTCAATATAGTTACCGTGATATATAGAAATATAACATGTCAAAATAAAAACGGTGTTAATCAGTGGTAAAACATGTTCTTTTTGACAAAAACCATAGAATTGGTTTACATGGGAATGACGATTTTCAAAAATTCATCAAAATCGTCAATTTCCGAATTGTAACTGAGGAAAAAACGGTGAAAATTTAGAGGCATTGGCGTCAAGTTAAACTTTAGGCAACCCCTTCGAAATAAAATAATTGAAAACTACATTTTTTATTCTTACCAACCTGTTTGTCGAATGGAAATTGTCGGAGTTGGAAATTGTGGGAGATCGTTCCAATAATGTGACATTTATCTGTGATGATTGCATTTCCTCTGGCGTCTAAATCAAACGAACGTTCCCTTGTCTCTGTTATTTCCCCGATTATGTTTTCCATCTGAAGTTTTGGATTCCAAAAGTCGTCCAGATTAAGGACATCCTTAAACATAAATCATGAAACGGTGAAATACCTGTCCGAGTGGAGGGTGGACTTTACTATGAAACGGTGAAATACCTGTCCGCGTGGAGGGGGGACTTCACTACTTAAACAAAGGTGATACGGTGAAAAACATTTACGCGTGTGGGACGGACTTAACATAAATAAATGTGATTACTTGTAGGAGTTGGACAGACTTTATTAGTGAAACAGAGGTGATTCGGTGAAATACTTGGAGGATTAGGGACGGACTTTATAAGTGAAACAAAGGTGATTCGGTGAAATACTTGTAGGAGAAGGTATGGACTTTATAAGTGAAACAAAGGTGATTCGGTGAAATACTTGGAGGATTAGGGACGGACTTTATCAGTGAAACAAAGGTGATTCGGTGAAATACTTGTAGGAGAAGGTATGGACTTTATAAGTGAAACAAAGGTGATTCGGTGAAATACTTGGAGGATTAGGAACGGACTTTATAAGTGAAACAAAGTTGATTCGGTGAAATACTTGTAGGAGAAGGTATGGACTTTATAAGTGAAACAAAGGTGATTCGGTGAAATACTTGGAGGATTAGGGACGGACTTTATCAGTGAAACAAATGTGATACGGTGAAATACTTGAAGGATTGTAGACGGACTTTATTAGTGAAAAAAGGTGAAACGGTGAAATACTTGTATGAGTTGGACAGACTTCATTGGTAAAACAGAGGTGATTCGGTGAAATACTTGTAGGAGAAGGGATGGACTTTATGAGTGAAACAAAGGTGATTCGGTGAAATACTTGTAGGAGAAGGGGACTTTATAAGTGAAACGAAGGTGATACGGAGAAATACTTGATGGATTGTAGACGGACTTTATTGGTGAAAAAAGGTGAAACGGTGAAATACTTGTATGAGTTGGGACAGACTTTATTAGTGAAATATTTGTGACTTTAGTAGTGGAATAGGACTTCTCGAACCGGATTTTGAAACATTACATAATGCATAGTGCCTCGTTGACTTAAAAGGGCAGAATCTTATCCTAGTTAAATCCACACCACACCTTAGACAGACAAGCAGAAAAAACTAGATTGTATTCAGACCATATCAAATTTAAACTAGCTATGATTTAATGTAAATCTATAAATGCAACTTACAAGTACATTTACTTAAACCGGCAGAAGAATCTTTAAAATAAATAGTATTTATGATTTAAAAAAATGTTAAGTGCATGGACCTCCCTATCTAAAAAAATTGAAGCTTGAAAGAAAATCTCGTCTCGTTATCCAGTTTGACAAGCTCCAGATTATTTCAAAAATCAAAATATTTAAATGGGTTATTTAGAATGAAATACAATTATTATAACCCATTTAAGTTTCATTGTACTTACGTTTATCGATATACCATTCAGCTTTGGTTCCTCCCATTTTGTAACGATGTAAAAGTCTGCCAAGAAACTGCTTTCTACCAAGTTGATATTTCGTATGCGGGAGATAATTACTTTCACCATTACCTGATAGAATATCATCTTGAATTATTACCCATTACATACATATTACACACTCCCCACGAAAAGTTTAACAAACAGAAGTATACTTTTGAAGTACCTGTTATGGAACTGTGCGGACCCACATTTCGCCACCGTGTGCATACTTTGGGGCAGACGGTGGAGCAAGGTATGGACATATGGTGGGCAAAGCAAATCATAGTTTTATAGCAAGATAGCCCCCATCACATTAAATACAAACATTAATTAATCAACTGAAAAGTCAATGCCAAACGTCGGCGAACAGTGAGCCCATAAAGTTAATGTGACTGGTACTTTAAAGCGTGTCTTTGTTTGGCGATCTTGAAATTATTGTAAATATCCGACTTATTGTCAAGTAAGGTATGTCAATAAAAGCTATGCAAACAAAACTGGACTAAGGCCTAAACATAAGGACAAAACTGTAATATTTACATATTCAACAGTTTTTGAGAAATCAATCCAACCTTTGGCATTCTCAGTGGGTTACTTGAATTGTTTTTATTTGCCTAATAAACTATAACATTGATTGCATAATACCAGCAGAAACAATGCATTAGCGTGCAAAATGTCACCACCTGTCATTAGTGACAGACGTTATAGTTTGTTACCGACGGCACTTGTGGTGGAGACATGACAATGTATGATAAATAATATTCAAATAGATAATACCATAAATAAATAGTGTTGCTGAAAATAATGTAAAATTGGGTAGAGTTCATTGTTTCGATGAATTTGGCGTGAAAGGATACATCTAACTAATTAATAAAGATCAGCAATGCTAAGGGAAATTCAAATCATTTTATACTTTGAAACCAATGGGACCAACACGTGTATCCTTCTACGAAAACAACATCTGAATTCATTCTCTTTATTGAAGAACATGGCATTCGAATTGTTCGAATTGGTTTTTGACATGTCATTCATATCCTAAACTGATTCAGAAGAGAGGATTCTACAAAGGTCCGCAAAATAATGTAATTATTGGAAGACTTTTATGGCAAGCTTGAACATGAATGTGTTCCCATTTGTGAGCCACCCTGTATATACGGTACATGTATACAGGGGTTCTTCTGATTTTCTTTATCCTATCTATTCTTTTAATTGATATGGTTTCTTAACATTTTTGCGTAAAGTGGAGTTTAAACAGTACTGTTTTTTGCTTATTTTCCGATTTTAACCGTATTAATGTTCTAAGTTTGAAAAAAGTAACTGACCCCATCGCATGGGCGTAATCATCTTAGAAAACAATTTTGACTAATTTTTTTCATTCTTATATTTGTCAATTTGTCTGCTAATTTAAAATAACCTCATCAGCTACGCCTCTTCCATCCCGATTATGGGACACACATTGTCTAATGTTTATATTGCTCAATTCTAACACTAAACTACCATACCTTTCGGACTAGGTCATAACCAGGTTTAGTGTTCGATACCATCATCATACTGCCTCCATTTATGTGAATCTTAGACATGGCTTCTGTCCAGCTCCCAAATGGACAAATCACCTGGCTTACAGTTCCACTGTTACTATCCCTAAAACCTCCGGCCGTAATGAATCACTATTTTCCAACTTCGAATGACGTGCCTCTTTTGTTGTTATCAGGTTAAATAAACTGCATTTAAAGATTGGGAAATGTGATATGTAAAATGTCCAATACTTGTGCGTTGTCAATGTAAAAATCTTTATCTACAAAATTAACACAATTGACAAATTATACATGGATGTCCACATAATTGTCAACATAGACCCCAAGGGCAAACGCAGACTACAGAATATAAACGCTTCAGATCCCAATACTTTCGACAAGACATTTTAATTCTTGAACTATTGATTCAGTGTACACAGTCTTTTCTTTAATGTGCGAAAAGGATTAAAGACCCTTGCAAAGTCTAGTTACACTAATAGCGTTTAACTATGAAAAGGTGGTTTATTTGTGGGCGGATGAAAACATGCCTCCGGCCCCAAGTATTTCTATACTCTTAACCCCATTCAGCTTTATTTGAGCTTTATATAATATACAGTCTTCACTTATGCGTACATGTGAATATGTTTTCTATTGTAGGCGTTTATTCATTCTATGTTATTTTGTAAATAATGATTTGCAAAGTCATCCATATGTCGCGAATTTACGAATTTCGTGCAATCAAACTCATATAGTTAATATATAAATTTATTATTATATTACTACCAAAAAATGATGACATTTTGTTATTTCCACCATTTTTCGTCACCGCGTTCGACAGTGGCGTCTGTAACAATTATTACACTGTGTATCTTTCAATCCTTTGTTTGTTATTGAAAGACGGACACATACATGTGATTTGTATCGATTTGTTCAATATATATTTGAATAATGTGATGATGAAAGAATTATAAGCATAACTATATTGGAAGGTTGGGCTCGTGCATACGGTGATGCAACTCTCGCATATGACAATGCGAGTTTTGAACGCGATGCTGCAAGTCTCGCAATGCCATATGGTAATGTGAATTTCGTATCATAATGCTACGCTAGCATGTGTTGCGTAGTTGGATTTTGACATAGAAAAATCCTTAGTCATGGAGCAGAGTTTTCATGGATGCACCATCTTTGATTACAATAATACTGCATCAAATTGAGCGTGGCAGTTGAACGAACAGGGTAAGAGAAAACACGAGTTTTCATCGTTTCAGAAAGATCTGGTCCAGTTTCTAGATGCTTTTATATGTACTTCTAAATGTCTGTGGCAACATCATAGACAGTGGACTTGACAGAGAATTTCATAGTTAAACCTACACAAACTCATAATGCAGTATACGATATAACACGCAGTAACAATGAGGTACAACACGGGAATTTGAATTTTCGTTATACCATATCGCAGGTAAATGTAACCGCGTGTTACACTACATTTGGAGTTTGTGTATATTTAGCTATGTAATTCACTGTCCAGTTCACTGTCTAGGGTATTATTACAGACATTTACATATAGAAATATTTAGAAACTAGATCAGAACTTTCTGAAACGATTAAAACATCAGTCTGATCAAATCTCATCACCCTCGTGTTCAACTGTCACGCTAATTTGGTGCAGTGCCTGTGAATAAGAGACAGTGGGAATGTAATTCTGCCAAACTAAAAAATTAAGCAAATACCAAACTGCAATTTCATATTGAAAAAACATGTATCTACATGTCATAAAAAGTGTATAAGCAATTAGTACAAAGGTAGATCACGTTACCATTCCTTTTCCCGATTATGAATGAAAATCTGTAATTGTGGCGTCTTTATAGAATCTGAAGGCGCAATATTTTGAACTACCTTTTTCATCAAATATAATAGAAATAAGTATGAACTTATTAGGTCACCATGTTGTCACTTTGGCAACACCAATTTAAGAGTGTAAGAATGTTATAATACAGGACACTTAATAAAGTCTAGAGGTGTACATGATATACATTAAGCAAGCGTGTGATAAAACATTTAAGAAAAAACGTATTTTTACCCATTATCTGTTCCTAATGATATTTAAATTTAACTGCCATCTATCTTACAGGGGAGGGGCTCGGATGACATTTTTGACAACCTTATAACTATACTGCATCTTGTCAAGAAAGTAAGATAGCTAAGTTACGTCCAAAATTAATAAAACTAATAAAAACTCCACGTCAAGATGTAGTGAAATCTTGTATTATGCAACTAAATAATTTGTCATTACAATAAATTGCAAGTTCAGTTTTTAGATATGGGCAACATCTTCATTGCTTCTTTCACTTTCTCGACCAAGTCATCGACCATCTTTTCAATTTCGAACAATCTCACCCGCAACAAAAAGCTCTGGTCGGGTCCACCAAAAAACGAAGCAACGGCGGTTCCTTCGAGTTCTCTGCTGTCTGCTTTGGCTTGTTTCACGAGACGTATCCTCTTTATCACAATAATACCATCGAGTCCAACTTCGTTTATCTTTGATCCAACTTCAATCCCGAATCTTTCAAGATTCCTAATTTTTTCATAGATCTTGCTTGCAGCATCAAACGCAATTCTAATGTAATAAGAAATGAAATTTATGATATCTTAAACGGAGAAATACGTTAATCTAATTATAACAATTTTTTTAATCATTAATTTGGTTTTACTTGTCTCTTTCTTAACCGACCTTGCTTGTTCTTCTTTTTCCGAAAGATCATCCACGGCACTCTCAGCGTCAGTTAGTGAATCAGACAAGCGTTTCATCGAATCTTCAAGATCTACAAGATACAAAAACTGATTGAAAGGATTGATTATCCTGTAATAATCATTAAGATGAAATCTCACAAAAAACATACAACACATATAAACATTATACATATACCCGTTAGAGTCCTTTTTGCAGCATTCAATAAATTTTCATCGGCTTTTGCTATTTTCATTGCAGCATCTACAGCCGTCTGTAACACGGGGAGATTTGCTTCTAGTTCTTCCATTGTAGTCTTTGCAATCTGGAAAAAACAAAAGTAGTTAAACAAAGAGAAGTACCGCGATTCTTACCCGCGACCGCTGGCCAAGTACGCGTACCAGTTTCCTCATCACATTCCAAGAAAAAATCTTATTTGTATTTTTCATATTTTATTTAAAGGAATAATTCAAAAACAAAAACATGATTACATACATATAGGCTAATACTGTACATGTTGATAATATAAATTCATCATATGGCAATATTAAAAGTTTGTATTCTCACGCAAATCATATTTTTTCAATGTGTTCTTAAATAATTACTCAGAATTCTACACTTGGGAAAGATGTTGACACCTCCTCTTTTTATCATGCTTCATTAAAATTGCTCCTTGTGCTCTCTTAACTACATCAGAACACCAATTTTGAAATAACATTTTTTATTCAATGATGATAGCTGAAATTAAATTTTAAAAAATCGTTGTGAAAATGCTCTCTCAACTTTAGCCACGGTATTGATCCAATCAAAAAATTGGATTTTGAACAGGTTTAGATAGTTTGAATGTTGGCCTATTAACGGATCAAGGAGCTGTTCAAAATGATTACAGAACGCAGCAAAGAAAAAACATCTAAGACTACACGAGTCATGAGGAAAACAAACCCAACTATCTCATTACAATATAATGTAGTCTCTACTTACTGCCAATTCTTCTCTGCATTGTTGCCTCGCTGCATCTTTATCATTGCATAAGGCACGTTTCGAAACATTCCTTTTCTTTTTAGCTATTTTTTCTCTCGCCCATTCGAGACCCTCTAACGCCTTTTCTTTCAACCACTCTCTCTTCTCTTCAATATTTTCCCTGATTTCTCTACCTTTCTCTCGAATCCTTTCTGCAATATTTTCTCGGATTTCTCTAGCTTTCTCTCGAATTCCCTCTCTTCTTTCCTCTATCCATTCTCTAATCCTTCCACGTCTAAGACGTCGAAGTTTCACATTATTACTTTGTTGGTTGTGTTTGAACCCATTATCTATAAAAAGGGGGGATGCTAAATGCAGGCTAGAAATACAAAATACCTGAGTGACAAGCTATGTTGGTCATTTTATATTAATACGGATTGTCGTCGAAAGATTTGTCCATCTTAGAGAGCATGCTATTTTTTATAAAAATTATAAAAACAAATCATCATGTAAGGCTTCCACTTAAATTAGCTACTTTTAACTTGGCAATAATTAATCCTAGCGTTATTGGACTTCAAACAGAAATGAAGGTTATCCGCAAAAAATATACTCCTTGTATGAATTAGTTAATTTTCTTTGATATAACGAGTCATATGATATAGCATAATTTGTAAAAAAAATTTAATGTTTTTATTAAAAGTAGCATGTTCCCCAAGCTGGACACATCTTTCGAAGACATCCCTTGTTAATAAAATGACCAACATAGCTTCCGTGTCACTTCAGTTTTTTGTAAATTTTTAAAATCCATGCAACCATGGAGGTGTAGATCAATGTTTGAACTGAAGGAATGAATCCTGTGTGGTGATTAACAGAAACGATCGTAACGTTAATATTCATTGGTCTATTGTTCTGTACTACTGTATATATGACATCATTATATCAAAAGTTAAAACATCTGTTTCGAGAATTCCTATCTTTGTGACTTCCCTTTATATAGCCATTCCGGTTAACTGTAGACCATTATAAGTAAATGGAATTGTCATTAGTACATAATATAATGAAATGTGACCATGGAGAAGAAAAAGGCAAAAATAAGTTTTCACATATTGCGACAAAAAGTCAAGATATGTGAAATTGAGATCCAAATCCTAAAACAACTTCATTATAGCAATAGGCACTTCAAACGACCAATGCTAATATGACTACCTAATATAATTCAGTATTCTGATTGGTCATATAGTATCTACATTCTGTACGCATGCGTAAACTACTCACCTAATATTGCACGCAGTGTTCTACTACTGGGTGATCGCAAAAAGCTACTCGATTCTGCCTTGTCAATTTTGACTTCTGAGAAACGTGGGTGGAGGTCCGTTGAACCTAAAGCAATAATAATTTGCAGATGTTTATTGTAGCAGTGCATCTTTTAATATCAATATAATGTATTTAATGAATTTCAGCATTTACCTTTAAATACCATATTACTAGGGTCATGAGTTAAAGTCTATATTTACCGGAAATAATGTAGATGTTTTTTTTATTATAGTATCGACAGATGTTCTTTGTAATTTTTCAGATTAAGGGGACTTGTGCAAATTCAAATTCATAAGTTTATTCCACACTTCACTGTTAAACTGTAATTTGTGGTCAATGATCATTTGGGTAAAAGCTATCAAGGTAAAAGAGGTCCAATGTCACTTCAGATATGAAATAACTACTATAAGCAAAAAGGATTCGAAAAAAGTCCAAGGAATTCTGAAAATGGACATGTGACATAAATTACGTGATTATATCGGGTTTGTAATGTGTAATTTTAATATCTGATGCGGCATACTAGATTGAAAAAGTATCTGATAACTATTTTATGTGCATTATATTTTAAAGGTCAGAGACAATAAAAAAGCGTGGAATGACTCACGTTTGCAGATAGATGGGCAAAGCTCCTCTAAATTTTGGATTTCTTCCCGAACTTCCTTTATCTTTTGTTTGGACGCTGAAAGATCAGCAGTCGTGTTCCTCAGTGACTGAAGTGATACCTCATATTTTTCTTCTAACTGAATGACCTCATCATTCTGTTTGTCGATCTGTTTGGTTGCCTCATTCATTGACTTCTGGATGCGGTCAACCTAGGGCAGAGAAAATAGAAAGTGTAAGATGGGACAAAATGTTAAATCTATCTGAACTAAATTTCCCTCCACACATATATCCAGAAATATATGCGCCAGACATGACAATCAAAAATAGGGTAGAGACGTCCAATGAACTTTATCATTGGAATCTTTAATGAAAGAGCCATGGTTCAAACTTCCGAAAGGTTTTGATTAGAGCTTGTGATTCTATTTCATCAGCACATTTATTCTAAAATGATGAGCAGTCACTTTAAATATCTATTGTTGTTGAAATTGGATTGATCATCGTGTTTTTACATATATTACGTATAAATGAATAATTTGATGTTGATGATTATGAAAATTCATGTAATTAAAATACCTGGTCGGTTTCTTTATGTAATTTAGCGGCTATTTCCAGAGCTTCATCACCAAGTTTGTCAACTTTATCCTGGGCCTTTTTAACACTTTCTATTGCCTTATTGCTAATCTTATAGAGGGCTTCCATAACTTTTTCTTCCAAAGTGTCCAAAATGGTTTGGTTAAGATCTGTTGTTGTTTCGATACCGTTAGCGTCATCTGTTTGGTCATCCCCTGCAGTTTGATCATTATTTTCTTTATTAGTAATAATCATTTTTTCTGGAGTATGACATTTTTTAACATGAGGATAAATAAACAAATGAAAAACTCTATAATTAAAACTTTGAATCAATTTTCCTCATTTAGATTTAAAAATATTTAATAAACACCCCAGTCTTCCAAAAAATCTATTTCAAGACTTGTTTGATATCAACATTAATGTTCATCATCATTACACAAGACAGTTGCATTATTTTCATATCCCTAAATTTTCCCTTCGCTGTCTAGGTTCTAATCTTTGGAATGCTCTACCAGATGAAATTAAAAAATGCTCCACTCTAAATATTTTCAAATCTTCATATAAAAAACTACTCATCTATTGATAATGTATAATAGCAATATCATACTGTATTGTTGATTTTATACTGGTACCTGATTTTTTGTAACATTTCTACATTGTACATTCTTAAATTAATTGTTAATACCATTTTATATACCTACATGTAACATAATATAAGTGCTTTCTTTTATATGTAGTCTAGATGTCATTTTAAAAAAATCTGTTAAACCGCTAGGGTGTCTAGCGGCTTGTTTTTATAGTGTATATTATAAAAGAATTATGAAATAAATAAATCTAATTGAATTGAATTGATAAATACAGCACGCCCGGTGATCGGACAGAATGAACGGAGGGGATGCGGCAATTTCTCCAAGAAAATTCAACACATCTATCTGGAAGATTTATTTTTGCAAGAAAAGGTTTGCAATTGAATTGCTAATTGAATAGGTGCACGTTATGGTTCCTTCCTTATAGAAATTTTTGAACTGACACGCTTCAAAGATAATATGAGATCTATCAAAAAAGGTGTATCGTCACTAACGTGCAAAAGTCAATGGTTTGCTATAAATCAGGTAACAATGGTCTACATGACCTGTAATAAATACTTACAAGGGATGTAATGTCACCGTTGCCTTTTCAAAATTAGCTACTATACGTTATTTAAGAAATAATCGAAAACATTTAAATTGAACAAGTATACACGAATTCCCGTAATTGAAAAAAATGAACTCAGTAACTTAGTAAGAAACTAGATGTTACAACTCTAAAGATACATGTCTCGACAGAATTAACACAGGGGCACTATTTAACAGAAACATAAAAAATAGTTTTAACTTTTATCAAAGTGCTGAATACAACTTATATCAAAGTTATCAGGGTAAAGGTATCATGATTATATACTTGATAAATGCTCATTCGTTAGTATTCTAATTAAAAATTGCATGGAGAAGCCGATCTGAAACTCCGAGTGGTTGTGAATACTACAAAATTGTATATGAAAACAAAAGATTTTGGAAATACTATATAAAATATCAGAATTGAATTCTAAGGTTTTACATAACTGTCTTCCTTGTGAATACATTTTAAATATGTTAATGTATATATTGCACTGTCAGTCATCTGATAAAACATACACCCATGTTGTATATTTTGCAAGAAATCTATTGGCTTATAGAAAATTATAGGCAATACTATGAAAATTGACATTGTTCTAGGGTATAATTGTATTGTTCTAGAGTTTGATGAAAATAACAAGAACACTACACTGAGAAATATTACGCCAATTATAGCAAAATTATACATTATTAATTTTATAAACATAATATGAAAAATGACTTACGCAGCTGTAGTCCCGTCGCCGACGGTGAAAATGCAAAAACTGCAACGAAGACGCAAAAGAGCAAAGTCGAATCCATCTTTACGCAGTGTGCTCGCAGCCTGGATCCTTGATGTGACTAAAAACGCTGACGACGAACTGTGAATTTAATACCACAATTGCCACGTTTGTCACGATTGTACATTGTTATTTTAGAATATTGCCATCGTTTGCAATATTCCATTCAATGAAACAGTCGTGCAACATTAATGCTATAATTATACATATGAAAGAAGACTATGTGACTTCCGTGGCATAATTGATAACAATTATATATTTTTATCTTTTAATGGGCGTACATGAATGTTCAACTGAACTGATGGCATAAAGGTGTTTAAATAAAGGCGTATAGCAATGGGTTTCAACATTGTATCGATGAACAATCGGTATTTTTATGGATAATTCTATTTCAAATCTAATGTCATACATTCATGAATTAAGTTGTTGAAATATAAAGCGTGAAACAATGAAAAGTATCATCCATGAATTGAACAACCGGTATATGTTAAATATCACTATGTTTTTATGAATCATTTTATTTCAAAATCTATTTCATATATTCGACTCAAAACGTGTTTTACAATCATGCCCAAGGAGATAAGGCTCGAATATAATTAAAGCGAAATATAATGGTTGGTATCTCAGTGCAACTTTATAGAAACTTGAATCATATAGAAACTATCATGGATTTTGCGGCTTCTCCCCATATCCCTATATCACGTTAACGTTTCAGTTGCAACCACGGGATAGTCTATTAGTCGTATTGATATATTTGCTGGTATGTCCAGGAATAATCTATCTAAGGACACATTATGGCTAAATAAAGAGGAATATGGTAATCCCGAAACCTGTATATCTTGATTTGACAATTGCTAGTTCATGATGTTTGCCATAATTTCTTCATCGTTCTCAATGACACCGTTGCAGTTGTAATCCCATATAGGGACCCTACCTACCACAGGAACATCCAACATAGCACAACAAAGCTTAGAGTAGAAGTTCATATTGAAAAACTCTTCCTGGCATTCATTAACGATATGCTTGGATATGATATCAGCTCCTGGGGGTGGGATAGAGCTATAGTAACGCTCACAGAACGCTTGTCCCACTCGCTTCTCTCGTGGCCCCCATGGTGTATCTGTAACTATTAAGCGGTACAGTCCCTCTGTTCCCCAGTATGATCTCGCCTGCCTCAAACATTCTCTGGGACACGATCTGAGCATTTGGAGACATCCTTCGCATCCCTCCTGAACCAATTGACTTGTTATCCCTAGGTCTTGCACGGAGAAAGTCGACCCACAATTAAGATCATTTGTATTATTACGATTCTTGTTCCCGGTGGTGTTGTCAGTTACACCTCCCCGATCATACTTAGTGCAGTTGGCTGAATTTACCTGGATGTTAAGGACGCACTTGCACGACCTGGAGAACATCGATAGGCTGCTTATAATTATTTAAGGAGTAATTTTAATATAAATAATTTTCGAAAGAATCACGATTGTTAACACATATTCTTGATATATAGACATACCCTTCTCGCATTGCTCTAATAGACGTAAACGCAAACCATAGAACACATGCTAGTAAATTGTAAAATAACAAAAGATATATAGAAGCAGTTTATTGGATGGTTGAAACAAAAACGAAATAACAATTTAAACTGTACCTTCGTTTGTCAGAAAAAATTCTACAATCTATTTAGTAGGAGGCACATTTGTCTCAAATGTACCCAATAGTACAATACTAATAACGAGTAACATGACCTACTTAACTGGTGATTACTTAACTGGTGATTTGTGAGTTAGTATTAGATGGGTCATGAAATCAATATTTTAGGCCCCTGACTCTCTCTCTAAATATCTGACTATGGATAAATATAAAGAGGTTCATCTTTACATGGAGGAGTTCATCTTTCATCTAGGAGTCCATCTTTGACATTTGGGGTATTGGTCCTTTTGTCTAAAATTATAGAGCCGAAGTCTCGTTTTGATCAGATTTTAGGAGATTTGCAAAGATTGTTTTACCATTTTTAAGGACTAACATTCTCACCTTATCTATAAGATAATATAATTTCTTCATAAGAAGTTCCTTATTTTCCAAAATTATTTTCTATAGTCATTTTACCATACTAAAAGTATTAAAGAGTATTATAGAGAAGGGGGGGAAGCGTGTCGAATACGACTAAAGTGATCATGCGATGGGCATAGTATCAAACAACGAGGTAAAATTCATAAGGTAGCTCGCCATCCCTGATTTTGAATTAGAGTATGACTACTCTTTTGTGGCAAACTTACATAAATGTTGTTATTGGAGTTGGTATTGGTGTTGATGTGGTCGTCGTTGTTGGGGTCGTCGTCGTCGTTGTTGGGGTCGTCGTTGTTGTTGTCGTCGTTGTTGGGGTCGTCGTCGTCGTTGTTGGGGTCGTCGTTGTTGTTGTCGTAGTTGTTGGGGTCGTCGTCGTCGGGGTCGTCGTCGTCGTTGTTGTTGTTGGAGTTGTCGTCGTTGTTGATGTTGTAGTAGACGTAGCTGTCGTTGGTTTTTTAGCTAAAAGTATGTAGCAGCCATATTGTTGTAAACATATCAATTATCATTATGGTGATAAAATGTGTTTGCACGCTAAAACAATATTGTATGAGATAATTTTGTGTGAGCATTTAACACTGTAAACAACTTACAACATATGTTGTTTATGCATTCTGGAAGCGAGTGGAAAGTGGCGCAATCGTCGTTCGTCGTACATGTTGTTTGACCTACAAAACACAGAAAAATATCAATTCGAATGTTTTTCAATTGCAACCTTGAAAATGAAAGTATGATAATTGCTATAATGTCCCCTTTATTTTAAAGTCCCGTCAAATAAATTTACCCCGCCCATTTTAAATCCAAGTTCCACCCCCGATGGGATTCAATTGCTAACTGTCTCAGTATGAATGCTAACTTTTTCTGTATGGATCAAATGTCTCTTGGTTTTATGGTCCTGGATTGTGATAATGGATCTTGAATGATGGGGAGACATTAGAGAATTTTTTCTTTTCACGTACGTCTGATCATTGTTTTGGATAATTGGGGTTTGTTTTTTCTTATGATTGTTATACGTTTTAACGTTTTCATTTTCTTGCTGGGATCTTTTGTCCCTTTTCTTTGGTACATGTGCTTAGTCTTACATGTTAGTATGATTGCGATGTAAGCGAACACTCAAGAAACACTCAAATCAAGAAAACAACGATATTGGGAATTGAACCTTCAAGCATTTTGTTTTGCTTTTGCTCTTTCCTTGTTATTGAATCAATTGTATTAACCCTAGTCTGAATCGAGGTACTTCATTTATTTGGATAATTTGATGGTTCTAGCAAAATATACTTTAATATTATTAGTATCATGGGGCTGTCCTCCACAGAGTCAAGCTCTTGTCTAATTTTACAGGCTTGAACTAATGCTTGTATCCCGGTCATCATGTGTCCAAGTGAACTATTATGGAAATGCCATTAATTGGTTTTAAAATTACTTAAGTTTGGTAAATGAAATAGTCATATGCATTTCTGTGGTGTCTCAACCATTAGCTTGTGTACGTACCACAGAATCCATCCACGCACCGAGGTCGCGTTGGGTCAGTGCAATGTTCATTGATTTCGCATTTTACTAAAATAATAAAAGAGAACCCCCGATAAGGAGAGCTTTTTAGAAGGACATTGCTTTTTTATTCTGGAAGTGATCATCATGGAAATTTGACACCTTTTTAGAAATGAGGTGAATTTTGACATCCTGAAATATTATATTTCAATGACTAAAACTTCCGTTTCTAGAACGTTTTTTGTAAAGCGATGAAATTCAATGTAGTATTTTGACCGTTACTTTTCGATAAAGCACAATAAGTTTCCTTCAACTGTACATGCGAAATAAAATATGTCTTGGCTAGATTGTGAAGCAAAGTCTTATTTTCGTAAAGCAATTGAGGGGCGCGGTACAAGAAGTATGTTTAAAGAATTTTCTAAGAAGTTGTTCCACTTTGCTCCTCATTCTCATTAGAAGAGTCTCGGAATTTTATACCAGTCATAGATAGAGGGCGTTTCACAGATCAAATAAGTTCATCTTTGGATAAAACTTGGTCATTTTTGAAAATCATTCAGATGACCAAAATTAGATGTCTCTCCTGGACAATCAGTAATGATTATCCTGTGCTATTTTGGTTTCAGGTACATAACAGCTGGATATAGAACTGATGTCTTAGAGGAGTGGGACACATATATCTCCCGCTGTATATTCCCTGGAAATGATTTTGGTTCAATGTAGAAATAGTTAAACTGTCCGAATATCTTGCTATAGAATGAATGCAGCAGACGTAGAATATTTCATGGTCAAATGTTTATGAATTTTTCGAAAATAATGAAAATGATAACACTGAAATCTTCATTTATGATACCGCATGCACGTTTTTGAATATGGGGTATACCCCTCGGAAAATATGATATCCTTTATCATATTTCGCGAGGGATATACCCCATATACAAAACCTCCCATGACATAACCCATATGCATGGTGGTTAAAAAATAAATAATGATTGTCAGCGTCGGGATTTGAACACGAACCTTTCAAATTAATGGGAAAGCAAATTCCAACGCGCTATCAAATACGCCAAACGATCATTGCATTATAATAAGAGTCTTAAACTATTCAGATTTGAATTAGCTACACGATTGAAAAGCGTATGAAGTCTACATTTTTCAAATCAAAGAATTCGAGCGTTCCTAGTTCAACCTCAAGACTGTTGAATTATTAGAGTAGATAGTCCAGGGTGTAAAGCAAAACTAGATCGTTCTCAAATCTAGTAGAAACATATAGTTATTCAATACATACAAACATTCATTGGAAGTTGTATCTTTCTTCTTTGAAAAAGTATATTTCAAGATTAATTTATTTATGTTGATATATTTATTTGCCAAAACTTAACGTTGGCACATGTTTTATTATCCAATGCGTCGACATGCATTGTATAAAATATGAATGAAATAAAAAATCATAAATAAGTTCTTGAAAACAACGTTACATACAATTAAATCATAATCATGAATTTCTGGGCTGGTACAATTTGGTTAAAAAGCGTTAAAACGCGTTTCAAATAATATAAAATAGTCTTGCCCCATTATCACTGGGGATCCGCTCGATTACGCTGATGACCGTTTCGGTAACATAATGTCGGAACCTCGAAGGAACGATTTTTCTTTTTTCCTTATTCCACGCGTTGTAGTTCAGAGGACAACAGAACCATGATTCAATACCTCATTTAAGTTACTTAAACGGGATGGGTTAGATATGCAGATCCGTTTACGTAACTTAAGTGGGGTTTTAAATCGACGATTCTGTAGTCTTCTGAACTAATTGTTCGCAAAGGTGTACATTTTCTTAAAGACACACATTTTTTATAAAAATATCATGGGAATTTTGCCTACAACGCGTGGAATAGGAAAAAAGAAAACTCGACCTTCGAGGTTGCGATATTTTGTTGCAAGCGTAATCGAGCGGATCACCAGTCATATGAAAAAATCTCATCGCGAGCATTAATGTCAAGTCCTCAGTTAGATTAATAGAAATAGAACGTTGAGAACATTAAACGCATCGTTGAGAAATCAAACATATATACTTCAATAATAGTTGACGATTTATAAATAACATTGCAATCAAATGTAGATTATAACTTACATGATGTATAAAGTCATGACGATTTCCATAAAACAAAAGAATAGATAAGATAACCTATACTTTGGCTTGAGGCGCGTATGATGCTTATCATACATATTGTAGAAAGTGGTATTCGAAGTCATCCCTGGGGGGGGTATCTCACATATGTACACGTGGTTCTGATAAGACAGACGATTGAGCCAAGTAGCCTCCTTGATAGAAAATGGTTGATGAAAAATTTTACTTGTAAATACTTATATAGACCCTTTTCTCATAATTTCAGTCATGATTCACTTCAAATGGGAAATAACCCATTTACTGAGGAAATGTAAAGAAAATCTAAATATGATCTGTCATATCTGAAAATATATCCTATCGCTAAGATATTGAAACATAGCCTATATAACTGAAATAAGTATACCACTGAACGTCATAAATGGTTCCGGTATGATTTGCTAGAATCAAGTCACGTCATAAATGGTTTGAGATCAACATCGGCATCTTTGAGTTGGCTATGGGATATTTTTATGGTTTTTAATTGTTATGATTGTGTTCGAATCAACTGTAATTGAACTTAGAGTGGCATAATAAGATTATATAATGGTTCATTCTGTAAATCGTGTATTTTATACTCTCGTGAGAATATTATATATTCACTCGTTCGCTACGCTCACTTGTGAATATATCATATACTCACTCGAATATAAACACGATATACAGAAAGACCCATTATATAACCTCATAATATACAATATGGACACACCCTTTTTAAAACTCGTAATTGAATGTGTACAATAATGGTCCTCTGTGGATAATTTGTACTGTTTATTTGGCCAACTGAGTATAACGGTTTATGGGAAATGATTTTTATAAGGTCCCTTAAAAAGTTTATTCAGAGAGGCGAAATGTTTCACGTAAAGGTTCTCAAAACGTGTAACTAAACGTCTGTAATATCCTCGAGAATCGTAAAGATTGCCATGAGGTTTTATTTCATTTTTATCATTGGCTAGGCAAAGGTTGACTTTTTGACCCAGCTTTGAACTGCAACACGCATTAGTGAATACGTGTCTTTATATAATTCATTACATAATAAAACTTTGAGTAATCCCCAGAGTGAATAATGAATGTGAAAGCGTAGGTACAGGTTCACGGTGTTATAGCATGACGGTTACGCCACCTCTGAAAACGATGTTGGACAGCTACGTTCACTGATTTATCCAATAAATGGCCGCGATGGAAGAGAAAAGTAAGGTTGTTGCATTAGTTTCTACTACTGTGTATCAATGAAAGGAAGAACGATTTATGTAAGCATCGCATTCGGTGATACGTTCAGTAATGTATATTTTGAACGTAGTCTTTGTTTCTTGCCACTTTCTTCAACGAACAATCAACTAGTTTAAAAGGAAATCGTATCTGTGAATTGCCTACAGGCGAGAAAGAGTACATGCTGCCTTTCCCATCCGCCATTTTTTGTTATCGTTACCGCAAAATTTTGCAAATCGCCTTGACGTAACCGTCATGCTATAACACCGTGAGGTAGAGGTATTCAACGCTTTTGCGAGGATCATTTGTACCGTGAATATACACTGACAGAAACTAGAATGCAGTGCGCCAGGTGTGATTGTTCGTTGAGGAAAGTGGCAAGAAACAAAGTCATTGCTTTGAGATTGACCTTCGATGACTTTCTCAAGATAAAAAAGTCAAAAAGGTATTTTTCAACTTGCTTCAAAAAGAACATCTTTCAAAATCTTCTACAAGTTCTCAGAAGTTCGAATCTGAATTTACAGTCTGTAATACTGCTTCAAATACAATAGTCCATGGTATAACCTCCGAATATGAGGGATCCGTGGCACACTATAGCGCAGCA